CAAATGTTAAATCACTTGCCATGTAAGCATGACATGGCAACGTTTTGCCATCCAAGCAGCCAAGCGAGGTGTGTCGTCAACGGCAGTTAAGTTGGCGTAAGAAGAAGGGCTTAATTGCTTTGATCCCCGAATTCAAGGGCTTATATGCATCAATTACAGTCTAAGGGCTTAATAGCTATTCTGGGGTTGGTTCAGGGGCTTAACTTATGGTTTTGCCTAAAAAAAAGACGTAGGAATAATGTTTAGTTGAGGTAATCGAGGTGGTAGGGGAGAGTGGGACCCAAGTGTCAGACAAAGACAAGAACATATTAGCAGAGTCGCAGAGGCGCTGCACGGACCACGGAGCACGATCCCGCACTGGCAATGGGGTGGTGGATGAGCAATTGCTACTGGACACCCCACGTGGCCCCATCCACTACGTACGTACTCGACCGTTTTCGCCTTTTTTTTTTTTTTTCTACTGCCAAAGCACATGCTTAAATCTTGTACAATCAACTTCACTTACATCATACTGCAATCTAGTCCTTTAACCGCACAGGTGTCCCGACGTTGGGGATTCATCGTCCGTGATGGTGGTAGTGTGACGCACGAGATAAAATTATGTAGGTGATTAGTCGAAATCAATTATCGAAAACCTTTTTCCCTAATTGAACGTTGGGCGGGGACAGCCATGAACTGGATCTGAAAAGTCTCCGCTAATAATAATTGTATGAATGGAAAAGGGTAGAAATTAGTATGACGTTCACAAGCGGTCTACATCAATCAGAGAAAAAAATACTATAGAGGGAAAAGATGGTGGTGAATAAATATTTATATTTAAAATATGGTTATAATTATTATTATTATTTTTTTTGAACATGGTTATAGTTATTATTGAATTTGTTAAGATTATTAAAAATTATTAAATTTTTATCATAATTTTATTATTAAATATAATTAATAATTTATAAAAATAATTAATATTTATTATTTAATAAATGAAAATTAATTTATGATTAAATATTTTTAAATATTATAATTAATTATTTAAAAAATTAAAAGTTAATAAAATTGTAATTAAATTAATGACTTATAAATTTAGTAATAAAAGTAATCTTAGCTAAAATACTATTATTGCTTATGCAATAACAATAACAGTTAAAGGATTTCATCAAAAAATAAAAATAATGATAGGAGAAGACTGTCTCCAATCTAAACTGAGTTAGAGATTCCTGAAGCTCTATGTACCTGTACATACCATTTGATTAGAGACTGAAAAAACGATAGTGGTGTCGAAATGACCGAACAAGACCTGTTCTTTAGGCTCGTACCTCTGTATCCTTGAGTTCTCATACAGTGGTTTCGAATCATTGCCTATCTTCAAAAAAAAAAAGAAAAAGGGAAGCTATATATATATAGGTTTCGAAAAGCTAAAATCGAACAAAACCCCGAAAAAAATTATTGGGGCTCTTCTTGTACATGAGCGAGCGGTGATATGTTTGATATAATTAAAATTTTAAGTAAAAAGTTTGTTTGATGATGACAATTTTTTTCTCTCTTTAGTCCTTCGATTGAAGCATTTTAATTTGTACCAAAAGTTATTTGGCAGAAATCTTTATAAAAAAATTTTAATCCCAAATGATACTGCAATGATCAAAGTAGATATTTTTAACCAGAAACCAATTTAATTTTTTGAACTTATATTATTAAAAAATTAAGTATTTTAAAAGTGTAATTATTGTATATATTTTTAAAATTTATATAAAAAATTAAAAAATAAATTTTATTTTTAGTATTAATATTATATAAATAATTTTAATTAAATAATTAATAAAATTAAAATTAATTTTTTATATAAATTAATAAAAATCAATACACTCTTTTATTTAAATTAGTACAGCTAGAAATAAAAAGTAAAATTATTGAAATATAAGTTTTAAAATTTTAAATATCACTATATATTTTTAAAAAATTATAATCAGTAAATCCCAATACTGACGGACAATACATACTCTCGTTATTTTGTCACCATGACAAATATTTAAAAACCCATACAAATTTTAGGTGTGGACCATTAATTATCTACTCCTCTGCGTTTTTTTTTTTGGGCCTTCAATTAAATATGTACCTTAAATTGGCCGCATTGAAGAAGAGCTAGTATGAGCTGGAATCCATCGTTAGCAGGACACTGTACCATGGAAAATTGAACGCTTTCCTAGTCTTTTGTTTTTTTTTCTTTTCTTTGAACAGTTACTTGTCTGGCTCTGAATTTTTTTGGGATAATGCTAAAAGGTAAAAGGTGCAATTCGACCCCTTTATTTTAAATGTTATGGCAAGTCAGTCCCTCTATTAAAAAATAGTGTAAATTAGCCCCTCTAGTATTCATTATCCTGCAATTTAACCCTTTTGTTAAGGGAAAACCCTTCTTAAGCCCCTCAAAAGCGACAAGCCCCTAAACTAAAAAGGTGACAAATAGGCCCTCTAACCTCACGTTGAGTGCAAATCAACCCCTTTGCTAATTGAGTTCATAACGTCGTTTGTTGTTGGCTTGCGTGGTATTGCACTTGCACGCCTTTACATTGTTTTTTTTTTTTTTTTTTTTTTT